CGGAAAGCATGCATAGGATACATCCAGTATTTCATGTATCAAAGATTAAGCCTTATAAGGCAAGTGGCAGAGTACAGCCACCCCCAGTACCTATCGAGATCGAAGGTGAACTGGAGTATGAAGTTGAACGTATCCTTGATAAAAGGATTAAAAAGCATGGGAGACGCAAAAACTATGTTGAGTACCTTGTCAAATGGCTGGGATATGGACATGAGCATAACAGCTGGGAATCAGCAAAGTCAGTTGCAAATGCACAGGAATTGGTTCAAGCATTTGAAAATGGCCGAACACCTGTGATGCGAATGCAAACTGCATGAAGTACGGGATGTACATACTGAAACATGCTCATGTGTACTTATGCTTTTGACAGGTTCTCTTGCGCTGGGCCCAGAAAAACACTGGGTATACTGCCCCCCGTGCAAGGTCGCAGTTTGGACACATGAACGCCATGTCCGTTGCGATCCTCAACGGGGAGAGGTTGGAGAACGCCGACCCCTACGTGCCATTTCCCCGTGCGCCTGAGCGTGCACGCGGACGTGGGCGACGGCGGGGTGCCGCACCGGGCCGATCTGTACCGGCGTGGGCTTTTGGTGGTACTCGGCATCGTGGTCGCCGATGAAAGGCCGGGAGGTCAAACATTTCCAGCCACTTGGCGGAGGAAGAGTTTTAATGAGGGTTGTAAAGGCCGGGACGGTCATGTAAAACAACCACTCTTTCTCTTCATCCAAAATTGTTTTGTGTGTTGTGTTTTGTTACCTGGGCATGTGGCAAATCGCACAGCCAGTTCCACCAACATACATACAATGTTTCTGCTCCCGTATTCACTTATACTGGGACGAGGACGCCCCTCTCCCTGAGGGGGACGAATGTTACGCGCACCAGCCTGACGTGGGAGACGTCCTACTAATGGCCCTTGGTGTGGGGACGCCCTGCCCAAGGCACGTACTATTCCTCACCCAATGTAACCTTTATCCATATTAGGATACGGGAGTAGGAGGGGTGGTCCCGCCTAGGTGCCCTGTAAGGACCTAGGTGCCCGGCGAGGCGGGTCCGCGGCTCAAAGAGGGTAGGAACCCCACACCCACATCCTATTCGTATCAAGTATCAATGATCACGCCCAAATGGGTCTTCCGTTGAACCGGATCCCATTGGCATTTGGAATGTTTGAACTCAATCCCCAGAGCCTGAAAAACTCGTTGTACCAAATGGGACCATTCCCGCAAATGAACCGGATCTGACATGGCTGCAATGAAATCGTCCAAATATGCCAAAATCAATGCGGGCACCTCCCGCGAGTACTTTAGGTAGTACTGGAGAATGGAGTCATTACCCGCTAAGCAGCCAAATCGAAACCGAGTTCCAGCCCGTGCAGATGCAGCGGGGGTCCTTAAGAAACGGACCACAATGAGCATAACATGAGTGAAATAAAAGGGGGCCAGAGATAGGCCAAAGGGCAGAGCCCTAAAAGCGAAAATCTCACCACCCATTCGAAAGAGCAAGAAATGTTCTTGATCGGCGCGCATCCGAATGTGATGGTATGCATTTCTCACGTTGAATCCCACCAGAAAGTCATCCTTTTTCAACAGAAATCCGAAATCCTTCAAATGCTCATAGCGGAGACCGACCTTCTTGAGGTGTCGATTGACCTGCCGAAGGTCGATGACCAAACGGTACTTGGTCTTCCCGTTCTCCGCCGACTTGGCCACCAAAAAGGCGCGCGAAATCCGGGCGTTGGAAGAAGGCTCCGTCCGGACGATCACCCCCGTCTGAAGGTACTCGTCGCGCAGCTCCCGCCAAGCTTGCCATTCTGCCGGCGTCTTGAGCGGGTACTCGCCTTGATCGAAGGGGGGCAGAGGACCCCCTGGGCCCCACTGGAGCGGCGCCCCCGAATGGATCCATTGAAGAACACGGGAGGGGGTGCCGATGCGTCGCCAGGCCGCGAGCCGGCTGTGGAGGCGCGCGTAGGGCGGGGCCTCTAGGCGGTCGGCTTGGGAGGCGCAGGCGGGGCGCCGGACGTCTTGGATTTGGCGCGCTGATGCTTGGCGCCGAAGGAAGGACCGCCGGGAGGCGAGGCCGCGGGAGCTTGTCGATTGAGTTGCGCTTGATGCTGAGCCGCCGCGGACTTCGTTGCCAACTTGAGCTGCTAATTGAGGACCTCCTTGCGGATGTGCTCGAGGGGCTCGTCGATCAAGGGGTCCCAGAACCATCGATGCACCGCGCCCAATCGTACGTTGGTCTGAAGCGCCTTCCACAGACCGTCGAGGGAGGTGCCCTTCTGCTCGCCGTGGACTTGCTGGAGGCGGATCAGGCTCTGAAGGCGCGAGGTGACGGTCACTTGGGCGTGGACGTACGGAAGGAGGGCCTCCCGGAATTCGGGGGGGAAGGCCGGGTGCGCCACGAAGTCGATCAGCGCGGCAATGAGGTCGAACTGCCACGCGACGTAGGGGGCCCAGCTCTGATACTCCTGGAAGTACCCGGAGTTGGCTCCCAGGGCCTGCGCGAGCTGCCCGCCTTCGGAGGTGCGGCGGACGTCGAACCACTCGGGGAAGCGTACTCCCGGAGGTCGGACCACCGGGTTGGTCACCGCTTGCGGTAGGAGCCGGGGGTCGGACAGCCAGACTTCGTCAAGGGAAGCCATAGGCGGACCGTCGTTGAACCGAACCGCTTGGTCGTGCAGCCACTGCTCGGCCGGAGAACGGTTCATAGAAAGGACTCGGCCGTAGCCGGAGGGACAAGGCACTCGGTGCCTGTGGGTTGTGCCAACGCAGTGGCGCGAAGCGAAACAAGATAAGGAGGGGGACCGAGGGGCTGCCTAAATAGCCGCCCTCCGCCGCCCCGCCAAAGCCCGCCAAACTCGAGGGCGCCCGCGCGGGCGGCACCTCGGAATACCGTACTTTGACTGACCCACGGTACTAGGGGTGGCCAGAAATCCCAAGGGACGGGGTTGAGTAAACCCTAGGTTCAAACTGCACCGTTTGAATCGCCGGTGCAGCCCACCCATCGTCGCCCTTGGCAGAAACCCATTAACAGGATAGTTAACTTCATTTCCAAGATGTATGTGATTTGCACACAAACACTGGTACCGTGGCAGGACGCTGTGGGAGGCCCCGTCCCTCAAACAAACCGTCCCCGTGTCTACAACTCAGCTTCAAGTCTTGAGACCAAGGATTCCTTTGGATTCAAAAGGCTTGGGGGGGGGAAGTGGGGGGGTATACATCGCCATGCACTCTCTCGCCAGGTGACAGTTGGCCCGCACATCCCGTGGTAGGATGGGGTAGGCATCTGGACACGTAAATGTGATGCAACATTTTGGAACAAAGTTTTAACGCCCGAGTTCGCAGAAACAATTCCTTCTCCCCATTCTTCCTCTTGCGTCCTCGAAAGAAGAAGAAACGGTTTGGCCCATCGGGCCATTGCTTGCCTCCCGTCAGCGCGCCACCGTGCTCCGATGATACCCAACACTAGGCTTATCCCAACAGCCCTGCCAAGGCGCCCATCCTCACCCCCCATCGACACGCTGCACCGCCCTCACGCGCTCCGACCGCGCATGACTCACCCCGGTCCCACCGGTGTCCCGGCGGCCGGTCCCGCGCCGGCGCCCATTGGCCACACGCGGTCCGGGTGCCGGCAGCCCCTCCCTGCTGAGCCTCCCGATTCAGGCCCCAGAGCGGGGGGCGGCAATTGCGCAGGTGTCGGGCCCAGGCGCCATCGGGTCGCGCCTCCCAGCGCCTGGAGGCCCCCGCCCGGCCGCGCATGCTTTTGTGGCCGCCCGGGCGCCGCCGCCATGGCCCCAGACTCACCGGCCAGCGGCGCCGGGCCGCGGAGCGGTGGGGCGACGGGCGAGGAGGCCGTCCAGAGGGAGCTGCAGGCCCTGAGGGGCAGTTGGCGCTTCGCCGCGTTCGTGCAGTTCTGCCGGCTGTTTGAGGAGCCCCTGAGGCTGCGGTCGTACTCCAGCGACACTTTGGAGGGCGCGCTGCTGTTCCCGGAGGAGCACCAGGTGTTTCTGTCCGAGATGATGTTCAAGCTGCTGATGCCCGACCGCAAGAAGGAGTACAGGCCCGAGGACGCCGACCGCTGGGAGGGCCTGCTGCAGGACCGGATGGCCAAGCGCTGGCACGAGTGGTTCGAGAGCAACCCCCTGGAGGCGGCGGGGTATTACGAGATAGCGCCCATGCAGCGGGTGAGGCGGTTACGCGGGCCGCGCGCGGCCCCTCCCCCCTCCGCGCCCGGCGGTTTCTGGAGCGCTGACGGGGTGCCCTGTGTGACGCGCAGCTGGAGATACTCTACGTGCTCGCGGACAGGGCCAGCCAGGAGAGCGTCAAGCTGCGGGAGTCCGTGAAGAGCATGGTAGGCCAGCCGCCTCCCGCCCTCCGCCCCCGCTCCCTCGGTGCTCATGGGAGCTGTCCTGACCCAGGATGCCTGTGGGCGCCCGCAGGTGGAGGACCCCGCCCAGACGGCTGACGTCCTTCGGGCGTCGCCCATCGGCTGCGACGCTCGGGGGAATCGCTACTACCTGTTCGCCACGCGCTACGAGGACTGCCGGGTCTACAAAGAGGAGATCCTGCGCAAGAGCAAGGCGCGCAAGAAGGGCGGGCCGGTGGAGGCGCCGGATCCCCAGTGGCGCACCGTCTGCTCAACCATCGACCAGCTGGAGGCGTTCGTGGACAAGTTCCACACGTCGCGCAACGCCAACGAGCGGGCGCTGTACGCCGTGCTCAATGACGAGGTGCTGCCGGAGATGCTGCGGTCAGAGAAGGCGCGCCGGCGCGCGGAGGAGAGGGCCGCGCAGCTGGAGGCCGCCCCGCTCAAGCGGTCGACCAGGATCAAGGAGATCCTGACGCGGAAGGAGGAGGAGGATCGCAGGAGGGCGCAGGAGGAGGGGCTGGCCGCCGAGGACGAGCGGGCCAGGGAGGCAGAGAGGCAGCGGCGGGAGCGGGAGATGCGATTGCTCGGCCGGCATGAGGCCGAAGAATTGCTGTACGGGGGATCGATGGGGCGCAGGGCGCCCAGCGGGCCGTCGAGGGAGGAGAGAATGCGGCTGAGGGAGCAGCGGCGGGAGCTGGCAGAGCTGGAGCAAGGGCCGGGGGGCAAGAGGAAGGGCAACTGGTGCCCGGTGGGGCCCGGGGTGCGATGCCCCAAGCGCAGCAGGGTGCACAGGACGCGGCCGGCGGGGGACGTCTCCAGGCTGGTGGCCGTCGTGAGGGAGCAGTTCTGCTCGCCGGCGCACGGCGGCCTGGGTTGGAAGCACCACCAGCCGGCGGGGTCGGCGCATTTGCCCCATGCGCCCACGTGGAATGCCTGCTTTCCGCAGCACGGGGCCGTGCGGCAGGCGCCCCAAGTGCTGCCGCAGTATTCGAGGGGGCAGGGAGCGCAGGCTGGGCTGGGGAACCCCAACAGGGTGCGCACTGCTGCACTGAGATTGAACCTTGTTCGATACGTGTGCATTTGCCCCCATCGTGTCTTCTGATCCGCTTTGCATGCACACGGGGCGCACAGATCTGCAGTAGAGCACAGTGGGTTTGCTGGCATGGTGGTGCCCAGCGTGTTCATTGCCTGGTATTTGCTTTCATTCCACCGTAGATCCTGGAACACCCCTGCTTGCAGTTGTCAGTATGCACCCTTTTGTTGAGTGCGCCCAAGTGCTCACGATTTGGCCTCCAGTGTGCTCTTTTCCAAGTCACCCAGTATGCAGAGTGTCTGCTTATGTCCAGATCTGGGCAGGTGGTGAATTTTGCTTGAATTCATTGCAGGCGCCTCAGGCCATGGCATCGATGCTCGGTCGCAATGGTCAGTCCCCTGGCTCCCCTCAGCCTGCTGACTTGTGGCAACAGCAGCTGTTGATGCTGCGGCGCCAGCAGCACCAGCTCAGTCAGCAGCCACACCAACAGCAAGTGCTCTCCTCAAGAGGTCTGCAGCGACCCACATCTCCAGCCCAGCGATCCATGCCCCTCTCCAGCCAGACGCCCACAGGAGCAGCAGCGATGCACCAAGCACAGCAAGCAAAGCAGCAGCTGATGGCACAGATCTACTATCGGCTGCCCCAGGCACAGAAGGAGCATTTGGCATCGATGCCCGCTGAGCAGCGTGCACAAGTGTTGCAGACTTTGATGCACAGACACAGGATGAGGTTGCAGCAGATGCAGCAGATGCAGCAGGCGCAGCAGGCACAGCAGACACAGCGGACACAGCAGGCGCAGCAGACACAGCAGACGCAGCAGGCACAGCAGGCACGGCAGGCACAGCAGGCGCAGCAGGCGACCTCGGTTGCGAGCCCGTCAAATGTGGACATGCTTGGTCGCCAGGGCATCAATTCAGTGCCTGGTGGGTCGCCAACGGCTCGCGGCGTGAACTTGCAGGCCATGCAACAGCACTTTGGGCAACAGTGGCCACAGATGCGATTTCCTACTGGCGGCAGTGCAGGCACGATGGGGTCCATTGTCAAGCAGGCCCCATTTGTGCAGTCTTCCAGAATGCTGCAGTCGGTGTCTCCGGGCCAGGTGCCACAGGTGCAGTATCCACATGTGCAGCTGCAACAGGCACAGATGCAGCCCCACCTGTCGTCAGTGCAGCAGCGACAGGGGGTTGCAGGCATGCAGAGGGGATTTGTGCCCAGCACGGGCATCAGGCCCTCGGGTTTCCCAAGCCAGCAAGCAGTGCCCCTCCCTGGCCAGCACATGCACGTGAGCGAATCAAATGGCATGCACAAGTCTGGTCCTGGTGACCTGCAGCAGATGCTGCAAAGGATGCCGGGAGCCTCCGGGGGACAGGCACAGCCATCTTCGCAGGGGCTTGTTCCCGTCAGGCCGGCCATAAAATATGACAATGGCGGCTTGGGGGGTGGAGGTGGGTCACAGGGTGGGGGCGTTAGTAAACAGCAGTCCAGCGGACCTGGGATTCTTAACGTTTGACAGTCGTAATCGTTCTCATGGAACAGCAGGGCAGCCACGCGCCAGTTAGCTCATTCTTTGGGGACTATTCATTCCTGTGCGGTTGCTTGTGGTGACGTGTCAAGGTAGCAGCAGCGCTGGGCAGCAATATGCGGACCAGCAAGCAGTGAGAAATCAGTTGACACTGGTGGTGCAGCAAGTGGGTTCTGACTGGCAGCGCACCAGCAGCAGGCCTGCAGACCTGGAGACAACGTGGTGCCGTGGGTTGGAGGGGGCTCCCCCCACTGTGGCTCCATGGTCATTGGCCATGTGGAAGTGGTGCGTTGCAGGGGCTGTGGTAGCTGTGTGCCCAGGTGGTACAAGCATTGTGGTGTGTCCTCATGCCTGCAGAATAGTGCCTGATGACGCATGCAATATTATTACTGTTGCCCGTATGAAGTGAGAACGATGGGTTTTCTTCGTTTTGTTAATTGTTTTCTTTTAGGCTTTAGTGTGTGCATTTCATTTCGGTATCATACTCTGGGGATTTTTGTGTTGGACACCGGCGCAGGCACGCCGCTGCCACTGTATTTGTCTCAATGCCCTGCAGGGCTCTGTGCTGTCATTTTGCAATATCCCACTGCCAAAAAGCAACTTCAATGACAAGCAGACATTGAAGCCGTTTGGAGAGAATTGGGCTGTTCAACTTTTCAGTTGCACATGCATGCTGCTTGTGCCGACGTGCACTGTGGTGGGAGGCGGTGGGCGGGGACCAGTGGATGGGAAAACGTTGTCTTTACAAGACTGCTCCATCCTTCTCTGTTGTTTGGCGTCATCACAAAACGTCCTTCAACATTCACATTGCGCATATGCAACTTTGAAGGAAAGTCTCTTAGAGCAATTTTTATCGGTAGGTGCTGTTGTCCCGGCGGTGCTATTCGGCTATTCGAAGAGCACGGAACGTCAAAAAAACTTCATTAACGGTTTGGGAGCAATAACACCCCAGTAGCACCTCAGATGCTATTTGGCACTGAGCGGTGCTATTCTGGGCCTCAATAACACCGCTCGAGGCCAAATAGCACCCTGGAGTAGCACACGGTGCTATTCGTGCAGAACATTGTAACGTTGTTGTATTGCTATTCGGCGTAGAAATAGCAACCACCATTGTGGATGTGCGCAGGGGAGCAATAGCACCGGTGCTATTCGGCAAATGCCGCCTTAGGAAGGTTGCACGGCAGCCAATGAGAACCGTTCCTTGATAGCTCCGTCGGTGCAATAACACCGGCCGATAAATGGGATTAACTATCCTGTTAATGGGTTTCCGCCCAGGGCGACGAGGGGCAGGTGCGCTGGCTCCGGTTTGGGCCAGTGTTGCTTAATTATGGTTGTTTTGGCGGCCCCTGGGTTTTTTGTCCCCCGTACCTTGGGTCAGTGGCCAGTTTGTCATGTTCAAGGAGGGAAAGGGATTTTGGCGCCCCTGGAAGTGACGGGCTTTGACGGGCGTGAGCGGGGAGGCTATTTAGGCTCACCCCTCGGTCCCCATGCTATCTTGTTTCACTTCACGCCAAACCTTGGCACAACCTGGACCCACAGAGTGGGTCTCGAGTTCAGACTCTCGACCCCCGGCTTATCACCGAGTTCTTGCCTATGAACCCCTCCCCTGCTGAGCAGTGGTGCCGGGACCAAGCTCGCCGGTTCAACAACCGTATTCCAAGCTCCACTATCAAAGCCTGTTGGTTGCCTGACCCGACGCTTCTCCCCTAGTCAGTCAACAACCGTGTGGCCTGAATGGTGGGCGCCCACTCCCCTTACTAGTTTGATGTCCGCGACACCGCCGAGGGGAGCGCCGTCGCCAACGCTTTGGGCGCGAACTCCGGGTACTTTCAGGAGTATGCCGGCTGGGCCCCTCCGGTCTCCTGGCTATTCGACACAACTGCGGCCTTTGTGGAGGTGGCCGCACATCCGGATCTCCCGGCATCCGTATGGGAATTCCTTCTCCCCTACCTGTACTCATACATGGAGGTCACCGAGGCCCTCCACAATCAACTCTCCTAGCAGTGCATCCACGCCAAGCACAAAGGCTCAGGCTTGGAAGGATCGTGGTGGGCCATTCGGGCGGAGATCTGCCTTGCGGACCGGGGCCTGTGCTTCGGGACGGCGCACGTCAATGGGATCATCGAACGCATGTAGAAGGAGCTCCTTACTCAAGAACTGAAGCACACGTCCAAGACTGCAGCTGCCAAAAAGACCGCCTCCGCCCTGTCGACCTCCACCCAATCGACCGGGCCCAAGTCCCACAAGGGCGCCCGAGCCCCGGCCGCATCCCCCAAGCCATCCCGGTGAAGGACTTCCCATACAACTGGGTCTGGGGATGCCTTTCTGCGTGGCGCCGGATCGGCACTCCCACCCGGGTCCTCCAATAGATCCATTCCGGGGGCCCCCTTCTTTGGGGACTGCGTGGACCCCCGGCCCCCTTCGACGAGGGCTCCTATCCTATCCACTCTGGTCATTGGAGGAGCGACAAGCATGGCTCTCCATCCGCGAGGAATACCTCATGTCGGGGGCGATCGTCAAGGTGGCGCCGGGCCCGACCTCGCGGATCTCCTGCGCCTTTCTAGTGGAGAAGGGGCGGGAGGATGAAGTCATGAAGTACCGCCTGTTAGAGGTGGCCCCTTCTGTCCGTCCACAACAGAATTTGGTTGGCTCCGTTAAAATTCCGTACAGTCAACGGAATCCGCGAGCGGGCCACAGAGAGAAAAACTGTCTAACAGAAACTGGCGGGGCCATACTGACGTCAGCATAGACGGCTACAGAGATCCACACAACCTTACAGAACGGAACCACGTGTTACGGAATCTTCGCGGGCGTCAACAGAGGACAGGCCCCCCATAACGGAACCGCTGACCAAATCACAGAGGTCGACAGAATTCCATCAAAGTTTACGGAGCAACACACACCTATGAAACGCGTTGAACACCAGTACAGAAATTCCAATGCCGTTCCATTGAAATTCTGTAAGACGGACAATCCCAGAGGCCTGTACTTTGGCAAAGGTGATGGATAACAGCTGCAGAGCGGGTCCCGTTCCCGGACCGGACGGCCAGACGCGTGGTTGAGTGCGCAACGGGTATGCATGGCGGACGTGGGGTGCGATTGCCTGGGTCTTTGATGGATTCGGCAGTGCACGCTGGCTGCCCCCGTGGCATATCCATGTGCACCTTCAAATCGTTGTTGTCTGTCACGCAGGTAGAATGTACGCCCAAAGCGTTCCCAAGCCCAGTACATTCGATTGGATGGAATGTGATGTGTTGCCCCTGGGGTATGTGAAGTGCTGCGTCGGGCCCCCCCGCCGCCAGTTGCTCCCATGGCGTCGGTACCCTCAGGTGAGTGCCACGGGCACCGTGCCGGTGGTGATGGCGTCGGTGGGGCAGGGGGATTGCTATTCTGCTCGGCTACAGTACCGGCCATGGCTTGGCCGGGAAAGAAGCCACTGTTGCTGGGCTCGTGGTGTGCATGGGCGGTTGTAGCTTCT